GGATTTCTCTGGGACATAAAGTGAGCTTACATTTCTCACAAGGTGTCCCCTCTTGACGTTTCTTTACCACAGGTTAACTGTTACAAATCTATCGGCAACACCTCCAATCGAGCAGAAACCGAGAGCAAGAGCTGCAGGTTAATGATGCTGAAAATCTTTTTGGGAAAGTCTCATTTTTTGTGTTTTTTTTTTAACACTGTGGCCTTAAAAATCATCATAACTCATTTCTACTCCAACAAGAAAAACAACAAGACTTAACTTTGCTGCCCGGTGGCTGCAGGATGGAAAAAATGCAACAGAGTGCCAGCAAGTTTGCAGCATCATTTTCAATGGTGATCATGTGTCAGCGTTATGTTTCTTGCTTGTTCTGCAGGACTTAAGTGGTGAAAATCAATCGTCCAAGTATTTTGACTCCAGGACTCGTCCAGCCATGTTTAGCATTTGTTTCATAACGGGACCCTCTGAGTGTTTCCCCCCTTTGTGGATCAAATACATAACAGTGTGTGTGTCTTATAAAGAAATCCTTGAAGACACTAGCGGCTCTTGTTACAGCTCCATCGAAAAGATTTCTAAAAATAAAATCAAGGCTAAAAATAGTCTGTAGTTTGCAGATGAGCTCGATATTTTAAGTCCAAAGAGACCGAACAAAGTTCTGATGGTTTCAACGTCAAATGGAAGGCCTCGTTAGTTCAAGAGTTACAGAAACAGCGAGGGAGTGAACGTTCGCGCGGGAAGAACAGTGTGGGAATTACAGCTGTCTTCACTCCCTCAAAGGGCAGAATCTCTATGTGCTTCATGGGATGAGGATGTAAACACCCACACAGACGAGAAGTATCATGCAAAAGGGACTTGACTGATCAACACGCCGAAGTTAAAAGTCACGAATAAAGATTTTTACATTTCAACACAACGAAGAGAAGAAGTTCCAAGTGTGGGTTGAGATGCTCTGTCTTTTTCTAGACGTCTAGATTTGTGTTTTCCTCTTTGAAAAAATCCCCAAATGTGCGTTAGTGGGGCGCAGATGGCCTGTTGGTCTAAGAGCCCCTAAAGGTGCCCCATGTATAGAGGCCACAGTCCTTGTCATTTCTTTAGTAATTAAAGCTCTAATGAGGAGCTTCACTGTTAATGAAATAGACCAAAATCTACTGCTAGTGTTTCTCTTTGACCTCTGAACTCAAACTAGACCACTGACAGGAAGCGTGGCTGTTTCAGTTTAGTTCATTTAATGTCTAAAACACGAACAGTGAGGGAGGGGTCACATGTTTTTGGTCACATACCTGAGTTAGTTACACATTAATGCAAACCAAATGAGATACAGCTGACAAACTTAATCTCCATTTCTAAATCTAAATGTATCATCTCTCATCTTGTTTACATCCGGGTAGTGGAGGTTTAAAACATGATCACAGCACCAGAGCTACAGAAACTAGATTTGATCAGCAGTTTGGACAAACACTGATGAAAATATGAGAAATGTGTTTGCCATGCTCTTAAATGACACAGATTATAAAAGGAGAGTGATTTGGTGACTTTCATAAGGACACAGGTGTTACCTGAGATCATCACCAAACCTCAGAGCAGCAGAATTGGACTCCTTGGTACTGATGTCCACATTGTTCTGACTCTTGTTGTTGTTGTTCTCATGTTACACACTTTTGGATTATCGCTTTGAGAATCTATTTTTAAGACCATCTATTCAGAATATGCGTCCGTGCAGAATGGAGCTGCTATTTCTCCTTCCCCTCCAGACAGGAATTGACTTTGTATTACGAATCTTTTTGAACTTTTGCCAAGGCTAAATGCTGTGTCATTTTGTCTGCTCATAAAAAAAGGAAAAAGATCAAAAAAGAGCTGTTTTTTATTTGTCTGGATTTGCCCTGACTTGAATGCAGACCCAGATGAAGAACATTAGTGATCCCACAAATGGGCGGTTAAAAGAAGAAAGGGGAAAAAAAGCTGGCATTAAATGAGTTTCACTGATGTGTGTGTCAGTGTATAATGGGATCAAGTAGACGACATTATTCCCACATATTTGAATAATTGCTCGTATTGTTTTATCTGATTGATCTGCTGCGTCTCTGGGAATTGAGTTCACGCTGCAGAGAGCACGGCTGTCTGCCAAAAATATCCTCCATGATACCTGATGATCGTGTTTTCCTCCATACTGTGGCAGACACCCCCATCCAGAGCAGGAAGTTTGATTTTCTGCTCCACTGTTTCCAGGCTTGTTCTGTTATTCTTGTGTTATTAAAAAAAATACACATATGAAGATAAAGACCTGGATGATACCAGCCGTCTGATACCTGACCGGACCGTCACGCCGTTATGCTGTCTTGCAATTCTTCAGTATTGATCAGGCTGCCTGTCTAAACATAACTAATGCACTGCTAGCTGCACTCTCAGGTCCAAACATCACTTAGCACTGATGATCAAACACAAGCGCACCCACAGACCGGGGGAGTGCTGCAATGATTTGCTCCGGTTTGTGGGATGTTGTCCAGCAAGCAAGAAAAATGCCCGGATAGATTTTCTAATAAAACTTGATGCTGACCAAAAGGATGTGTGCAAAATCTCAAGGATTGTCACCCTGCGTCCCACCACCTGTGAAACAAACCGCCAACATTAGTACCCACAGTTTCTTGGCCCACAGCCACGTCCTAATTTCCCAGTTTCAAGAAGCACTTAACCTGGGTCTGCTCCTCCACGTCCATCTGGCCTTCATGACGTTACCGTTATACAAGGTGAGTCTCTGGGGGTCTACTACTTTTAGCCTCCGTCACATGTTCACTCTGCTGCAGTGAAGGACAAGTCTCCTAGTGAGGCTTTCAGGGAACCCTGGTGGGGGTAATTTTGACCTTTACTTCTCTAACACTTCTGCTGCTGCTGCTCCCTGTGTATCAAATTTGTGCAAAAGTACCGATTATTTTTTATCATTTATCGTTATCATACCACTAGGGGTTAATAAAATGTCCTGTGATGATAAAACTAAAAACTGCCATACCAAAAAATACAAAATGATACAAGATATGATCTGACTCAATCCAAGATAAGACAAAATGATGCAATGCAATACAAAACAATATGAGATAATATGATTTGGTGCAATAGAAAAATAAAGCAGGATACGATACGATACAATATGATACGGTATAATATGATATGATACAATACAAACGGTATGATCAGTATGCCACGATACAGTATGATATGATGCAATATGATACGATATGATGCAATACGATACGGTATGATACAGTATGATATAATACGATACGGTATGACACGATCTGGTACAGTATGATACGATATGATACAAATGTTATGCTATGATACGGTATGACATGATACGATACGGTAAAATACAATTTGATAAGATATGATACGGTATGATACCATACGGTACAATACGATACGATATGATGCAATACGATACGATACAGTATGCTACGATATGATACGATTCGGTACGATATGGTTTGACACGATACGGTATGATAGGGTATGATAGGGTATGACACAATATGATACGATAGGATATGGTATGATAAGATAGGATATGGTATGATATATAGGATACAATATTATACGATATGATACAAAATGATATGATATGATACGATATGATACGATATGATACAATACGATACGGTATAATATGATAGGATATGGTATGATATATAGGATACAACTTTATACGATATGATACGATATGATTGGTACGACAAGATAGGATCCAATATGATACGGCATAATATGATTTGATACAATACTATACAATAAGGTATGACAAGGTGTGATGTTTTATGATATTGAAGTAAACGATTAGACATGGCATGACATGATACTATATGAAACGATACAAAACAAGATTTGTTTTGCAACCTGGGACAACACAGTCATCAAACCACAATAGATGACTCATTCAAGGCTGTAACTGTCTGATTATAACTCCTGTTAAATATGAGGTTTTTTTTTATATCTGGTCATGTTTTTGATTAAACTGATATCTATTTTGGTCTCTTGAAGGTTTTGTTTTCTCCAAACATTCATCCAAAACACCATGATATTTGAATTTACAATTATATAAGAGAAAAGTGGAATAAAGCTCAATTTTAGACTAAAGCATAAATGTTGCTTGTGTTTTTTAAATCAATAAGTGGCAGTGAAATGGTTAAAATGTCTGTTGAACTCTGCAGAGGCCTACAGAGTTTTTGTTTTATGAATCTAATTATAAATTTTACACTTTTTACACAAATGTTATTCCCAAAGCTTAAGCAGTTTCACAGTTCAAGGTTGATCAGGAAAGTCAGTGTGGAAATAGTTCATTACACTGTAATTTACAGTGAAGCAAATCAATCAAATCGAATCGAATTAAATCTCTAACAGATTTTATCCTGAGCTCATAGTTTTTAAAATATAATAGAAATGCTTCCTAATCCCACATGAAGCACAGTGATCCAGTAAAGCTGCTTTGACTCATTCGCACAATTATTCTAACAACGTTATTATTTGATATTTAAGCTCTTATCGACAGTTTGTTTTAAAAGGTGCTTCGAGTGTGTTGACAAGCCTCGTGCTGACTGTAACTAAGCCACATGCTTATCTTGTTCTGTCTTGGATTGAATCTTCCCAGAAACAGAGATGAGACATGACATATCAGCGGAAAATCTGAGTCTGGTAACTAACTTTCCTGATAGCTCGGCTGCTTCTTTGACATCAAAAACAAACTATCAGCCTCAGAGGACGACTCTGACAGGCAACATTTGTGTTTTGTTTGTTTCTTTCAGTTTATGCTTGTTTCTCATTTGAAATCTTCATCGTTTCGCCTCAAACATTTTCAATTAAGTGTAATTAAGTGCCGAACTGAGTAATTGGCAGATGTCAGTAAAGTGTTTGAACCGCTTGATATCAGTTCTGGAGCCAGAAGCTGACATCGTGATTGTCCTTGTCCGATTAGGCTGATCAATGAGACTGAACAGAGGAGGGAGGAAGAAAAGGAAGAAAGGGAGGAGGATAAGAAGCTGAAGGATGTGTCCGTGTTGAGAGGGAGGAGGGGGGGGGGGCAGCTCCTCCCATAATTAAGTTAGCTTGCTGCACTGGAGGTCCATGTTTACGGGACAGGCGAGGGAGTTTCCTTCACTCAGTGGACAGCTCTGGGCGCGGAGTAGGCAGCGAGCGAGCACTCTCTTCTCTTGTCTGGTTATTTTCTTCAGATCATCCCTCTGCGCTGCAGCTGCACATCCAGGCTGATAGAGGACGAGCTGGGGGAAACAGCAGCAGCAGCAGCACCTGCCTAACCCTTCTCCACCAACTCCCTCCCTCCCTGCCAGGCCTAGGACCTCATCTCTGCCTCCGCCACCGCTGCCATCATGTGCGACTGTTTCCACCTGGCCTTCCCCAACTGGCACGCCGCCTCCTCAGAGACGGGTGGGCATCTCTTCGCTCTATTTTCCCTCTCTCTAAGACTCTGTCTGTGCTGTTTTCTCTCTGAGTAATTCACCGATTCAGCAGCAGGGTTCAGTAGAGCAGTGCGAGAGGAGAGACTGGGTCTGTGTGCGTGTTTGTGACGGAGGGAGACTGTGAGCGAGTGAGTGCTGCTTGGTGCTGATGCTGAGTTGCGTTGCTGACCTGCAGTGGGTGCTGGGTGTGTCTGCAGAGCGCAGGGGAGTGTTTGAAGATGTCATCATCGAGGATGTCGGGCGCCGCCGCACTTCTCCTTCTTCCCTCCTGCTGCGCGTTTGAAGCAGAGGCTGAAAGGAGAAGAGAGCCGGTTAATGCAGCAGTTGGCAAAGAAAATAGTGATAGAGGATGAATTCCTCGGGGTAAAAACGATAAAAAACGCTTCAGAGAAGTATTCCTGAATTTAAAAATACCCTCACAGGAATAACCCCACTGATGCGAGCTTTAAAACGACACAGTGAGGAGCAGCTACCTGTATGCTTGCATCACTTTCGCTGTAGTAACCGAAAAATAGTAACACTTGAGAAAGTTCAGGCTGTGCGAGCTGCTAAACTTTTCCAGTGCTTGTTTGACGGGTTGATAGGAGAACTCTATCTTAAAGCTGATATGAAATGGATTCTGACCATCTGCAGGCATCAGTGGTTACACCTACGCTCCGTGTAAATAAACCATACATGATCGCATGTGGGCATGAAACACAGTCATGTTCTTAGTGTGAAACTGATTACAGTCCAGCTGCAGCATCGATTCAGCAGATTGCATATAATATTGGCGTGACTATTCAGGGAACTGTTTAGTGTTCGAATCTGGTAGTTTGTATAAAATAGTCCCTGAGTCTTTTTTTTTTGTCTGGAACATGACCAACTATTTCACAGACACTGCAGGTAAAAAGCATCGATCTAATGTTCCCCATCTGCTTTTATGAGGGAGGAGGTCTTGCCAAGAAGCGAATACGTCAAACCATAAAGTGAGGCAGAGAAATCGCTGCATCACCACTATCTCCTGTGATGGACTCGTTTGGAGTCCGGAGAGAAGTGGAATAAATTTGGCTGGACTTCACATCGAGTATCATCCATCATCTCTGTTGTTCTGAGTTTGATCAAAGTGCTAAGACTTTGAAATCAATGATGTAGAGCGATATTTCACAGCAGCGGCACATGCTGATTATCATGATAGCAGATTTTTATCATAAGACTCTGACAAACATTTGTTGAAAGGAGATAATACCGTCTGTGTTTCCTCGCTCTCTTCCCTTTCCCCCCCCTTTAATTCTCCTCATTAACTCTGCTGGTACTTTTAATTAAATCTGCCTGAAGATGTGGAGAGGTTTGTGTCGCTCTCAGAGGCTTCAGGCGGCGCTCAAGGTCAGAGAGAAAGAGAGAGAGAGCGAGAGATAAGGAGGGGCAGAGAAAGAGGGCGAGCGAGATTAGTTTACTGTTGGAAAGTGAGCCAGACAGGGTGGCTGATCTGCTCAGGAGTGGAGCCCAGATCAGCCTCAGATGGGAAAATCCTCCTCAGTACTTATATTTGTGTGTTTATCCTGTTTAAACAAAGGTTTGATTGAATTGAAGAGGGAAATGAACCTCTTAAAGCACCACATCATGTTTATCTGTGATAATAATCGGACAAACAGAGTTCACACACATTAAAACCCAGACTGGAGGAACTCTGATTGGGAAACACTTCGTTCTTTCTCCTAATAAATTCGTCAGGTTATTCAGATTTGTTTACATTTGGGTGAACCAGTTTGTTAATGTAGCTAAACTACATAACCAGGTTTAAATCTGGGTCACTACGGCCCGTTCTGAAACACTCTCAGCCCAGGTGTGGGTGGCTGACCTCGAGTCTTTCCACGTTTCTGCGATTTTGGTGATTTTGCAGCATGTCGTGGGAAAACATGCAGATTATCATATGAATTCCAAAGCCGTGATGAAACTGGATCGATAGATTGAAAGCATGCGCTGCTAAAGTCTCATGTTCATATAATCCATGCAGAAAATCTAATTTTTTTCCCTCCCTTCACTCAAATCTTATTATAATTTGGATCCAAACAAGCTGCCCTCCAGTGAAAGGAGCTTGTGTCTGCCTGTTGCACACAAACTGAGTGGAACCCAAATCCAAGAGCACAAATAATGAGCTGCATTACTCTCTATTAGTTTAGTGCAGAGGGGAGCTTCAGGGAGCCTTCCAGGTGCTGTTCAGCAGGAACCACATACTGGAGCAGAGGGGGTTACGTAAGAGAGGAGCTAAGGACAGGAAACTAACATAGTAAAGTTATTTTTTACATATTTTTAAGTGATGAAGCTGATTTAAACTTCTAGAGTCGCAGTTTTGTTTTTATAAGAACTTTCTGATTTGAATCAAAGTGGAGAAAAGTGAGCGTATGTGAGGTTCACCATCACAGCTCTGAGTTAGGAGGACAGAGGAGTTTCAGCGTCCACTTGAGTGTTGTTCTAAAGCAGACAGCAACAGTAGTTTATCAGCCCTGTCTGATCGGCACAAGCACCAAAGGATGAGCCACACCCAGAGTCAGAGCCGCAGTTTAATCCAACTATGAATCATGCAGGATCTGCACCACAAAGGACCTCTGCATCTCCTGCCTGTGTGTTTATATCTGCAAATGACTACCGTCAGAGTCAAAGTGGATCATCAGACATCAGCCTGTGAATATTTCTGGTGTGGGAAGTGATCTATAACAAGTCAAACATGTCAATAACACCGTAAAGTGATTTTGTTTTGATAATTCTGGTCAGGTCCGCAGTGAGAGCGGATATCAGGCCCTCTGTGGCGCCCACATGACAAATATTTGAGGAAGGAGGTTCAAAACGTGCCGTGTCAGTAGATGAGGCAGGAGTGTTGGACATCCGCCTGATAATTGTGGTGAATAATCTGAGAAATAATTCCCACAGTCACCCAAAGCGTGACTGAATCCTCTACAAGGCTCAGAGCAAACACTGAGGCTATGATGGATGACAACACTAACTGTGTCTCTGACACATAGCACATGACAGATCTCAGCCTTGAGGGACTCAGGCGCTCCGTATAATCCAATGAATCTAACCTTGTCCGGCTGAACTTCCTGAAGACACGCTGGACTATCAGGAACACTGTTTAACTCCACAGATACATCATCAAAACAACATGAGAACAATGTTTACAACAACACATAGACTATTCTGGTGTAGTGGTGTTAAATTGAAGGAGTTTTACACACTTTTGGAGTATTAAAGGAAAAAACATGAGTTTAAAAATCTTTAAAACTCCATGTTTTTCTAACTGCTGAGCAATTTCCTGTTTCTGGGTAATCCTAAATAATTCCTGATCGATATATGTAAAACCTTTTGCAAGTTTCCTCTATAAGATTAAAGATTACACTCTTATATCCACTTGTATTTGCTCACACTACCAACCCTTTGAGGGCTCAGTCGTGTTAACCCTTAAAACGTAAGTACTGAACATTTTTAGGCGGGATTTTACATTTAAATATGTCAAAAAAATGCTTAAAATTGCAAGCCATATTTTCTCCAATCTTGACACCTACACCCCACGATGCCATCTTATGAATCTTAGAATAAACTTGGTGGCATTAAAAACATCTTAACATGTGTCACTTCCACTGTTTATTAACTGATTAATCGAAGTAAACTCTAGTTATAATTCAAGGTTTTCCTTAAGAGTGAGGTGTTTCCTCCTTATTAAGGCTGTCAAACGTTTTAAAACTTTTTCACAAGCTGAAAATGATTCAGTCTGTTATTTAGAAGAATCAGATCTACAGTTTTATTTTCAATCTGATGACTTTTTCTAAATCTGCATTATTAAGAAAACAAAACAAAATCAAAGACGTCCGTTTTTGGGTGCCCCAGAGTTTAGCGTTTGCTGCTTTGTTATGAAAACTGGTCTAGATATTGTTTGATTTGAACTATTATCATGAGTATAGTTTGGTATTGTGAAAACCCTCTCCCTTTCAACACTAACTCTCAAATCCCAGGGGATTTGACAATGCGGACAATGAGGTATTAAGAGGAGGATGTATGTTTGCACATTCAGGAGCATATGAAGAGTTAAGTCAACACACACGAGGAGTTTCAGAAACTACATTTAGTTTGGGAGTGACACCCAAGGTACAACTGTAACCTAAAAGTGTCCCGCCTCCTTCCTCGATCTGAGACTGAACAAATCACTTTAGCCACTTTGGCTAAAGTCTCAGTCCTGCCTGGAATGTAAAAGGCCAGTTTGGGTAACGCAGAGTTATTAACACTTTGGTTTATTTCCAGGAGTTAAACCAGCAGCAGCAGCAGCAGCAGTGGGTACGGTAAGCTACTGAATTTGCGTTTAATTAATCTATAAGAGAAGAAGGATAAAAATGTGAGTCTTCTGTATGATGAGGACTCATACAACACTTGGGTTCATGTTGAAGACTGCTGCACATGCAGGCTGGAGATGATCATATTTCACAACATGTCTAGACTGTGGTGTGTTCTGAGTTGTGTCTGTTGTGTCCTGATGTTAGCCGACTTAAGGGTCTTCAGTGACAGAGCATGTTTTGTTTCAGAGAAGATCTGAGCTGTCGTTTTGATTTGACAGCTTCTGGAAATCTCATGAATCATCAACTTTAGAGAAACAACACACCCTGAAACAGAAGGAGGTTTTAGTCTCCTGCCTTAACAGACCTCTAATGCACTTACACAGGGAGTCAGGGATCTTCACATGACATACATTAAGGGAGTGGAGGTGGAGGTTGGTTAAGAAACTAAGGTGCAGCATTATGTACAGTGGGGTTAATCCAGCGTGCCTCAGTTACATTCCTTATTTCTGGCAGCTATTTTGATAAGTAGTCGATGATCACGATGAGTGTAAAATCATTTGCATGTGTAATAACCTCCTAAACCACTCGTCGAGTGAAATGCTGATTGCGTCAAGTGTTTTCTTTCAGATATATCCGGGATAAATCACATCTGCAGAATCTGATCTCACTCACCAGCTCACCAGAGTTTAGATAAAATGTGGAGGGGATTAAGTTTTCATTTAGGGCCATTTCTTTTACTGGGTTTGTTGAAATCTGTCAATTGTTATGTTCCTAGAAACATTGAGTATTTGTGGTGATAATTTCCAGAGTCCAGTGCATTTAAAAGGCTCAGTCCTAGTTTTACATTTATATATTTAATGTGCTGCGCAAGTAGTTCAGCACTTAATCTGCAAATAATAATGAAAGGTGCATCATTTTCAATTTTTTTCTGCTGATCAATGCATATTGATGATCTGCATTTGTTTGCCAATCTAAATCTGTAAACAGGAAATGTTTAGATGTAAAGGACAGGGACTTGAGCGCTGATCGGAGCTCATCTTTTCATCGGGGAACAAATCAATCCAAACATTTGAACTGCTGAAGTGCATCTCTGACTGGGAATCCCGATACAATTAAAAGTGGTCTGAATAAAGAGGTAGTCTAAAATGGAATCTAACCGAGTAGAGGTTAGATATCACGGTGGGTAATAATCTCACTAACCACATTCATTTGGAGTCAGACTTTCCCTTTTCAGCCGCCTGCAGAGGTTGAGCCGAGAGGCTTCAGAGACTAATCTGTGGATCGATACGGCAGATCACTTAACAGACGAAGGAGACAGCCGATCCCTGGAGGAATTATTGCCAGGAAGAGCTCTAAATAGTCTCATCATCGGCTCCAGTGTCTCTCTGAGCCTCAAAACAACCGTCAGGAGTCAGACCGGGTGGAAATCTCAGTTTACTGCTGAAAAATGTCAATGTAGATAAACACAACACTTTTACTTCTGATTTTCTGCCTTCTCTGCTTGGGGAAACTACACATGAATGATGCTCCTTTTTCTTCTAATATCATCTACTTAAATGTAAGAAATGAATATCAAACAAAATGTTGTGGATTGCATTTCATTTGCTGTGATTTTGAAGATTTATAATGGCTTTCAGAGTTCGTGGACTTAGCCCAGCTGCTCTGTAACTAGGCCTGCTAAAAAAATCCATTGTGCAATTTTCCCCTCAGCTGTTAATCACCATGCAACCTATTTTTGAGATTAAGTTATTTACTTGTGCTGCTGTAGCCTGTTGGTGTGAAGTTTGAATATTTTCTCAAATATCTGAGCGGTTAGACGACGAGGTTTCTTTGGTATTTATGTTTTCTCAATCTCTGTGTTTGTGAACAGGAGGCGGTCGGAGGCTGAGGGGAGCAGAGCCTGTTCCAGAGGACAACTCAGTGAGTAGCCTCAGTTTCCCTTTTTTAAGTCCCTTCAGGTTTCTCCCTGAGGTTAAATCGACAGAAAAATACATCTGATCAACTTCCTCTGACCCTGATTCTGGTCTACGTCCTTAAATAATCGGTGTTATAATGCGGAGTCTGATCTGATTGACCTAAATTCTGATCAAATATGCGTCTGACACATTTATTAACAGCTGTGGCCTTTCGACTTTGGCACGACTTACTTTATTTGAGCTACTTATCGGAAAGCCGTTTCCCAACACATCTAAGATGATTAGACCCGCAGAATGAATCCTTTGGGAACTATTTATGTCTCCATTTGTAAACTCCGTCGATGGATATGAAGCATTTTTGACGGGGGAATGAATCAAATCATTTGTACCTCGTTTCCTTTGGATGAAAGTGTGAGACTGACAGACTGACTGCCTTCCCTGGAAACACTCAATTAATGTGACAGTTGTTAATTACCAAATGGCCACTGGCGTAGGGAGGTGTGATCACACTATTTGGGATCCAGTTTTTTTCCTCATAAATTTGCGGCTCAGCCTGCAAGTCGATCTCCTTCAGTTCTGTCGATTTTAAACCAGATAATAAATCTCAAACTGCAACAAACTCAAACATCTCTTTAAAATAAATAACAACAGCTGTTTAGGGAAAAGACCAGGTGACTGTTTCCGCGCTCACTGACCTCATGTCCACGCAGGTATGTGACGAGCCGTCGCAGTTCACCGAGGGAGAGAGACCACGTCCTCAAGGATCGTCCCCCGTGGAGGAGTATCCTGAAATGGAAAAATACACCGAAAGTGACAAAGAGGTACACAAAATTAAGAAAAGCACAACCAAAATTACAGAGAGGAATATGGTTAAAAGAATAAGTCAAAGAACGTGTGTATGTGCTCTTCACTAATCTGAATATCCAGTTAAAATAGAGAAAAAAAATCAGGTTTTTTTTGGCAGTAATCCCTGTTTTCTTTCTCATAATCCCTCACCTCCAAGAACATTTTAGGTTAATACAGAGACCAGACTGTAACCTGGTTACTTTAATACTTTGGCTACTTGTAAACACCCCGACTCTGTCAACAGTCGATTTCAGATTTAGTGTCCTGAGGATATACACAAATGAAGTTAAAAAAAAAACACAAGCTTGTGACCCAGCAGGGAAGTCTGTGTGTTTGTCTTATTTATGCTCACATGAAGCAACACATATGCTAAAACAGAGAGGGAGGAGAAACATTTCAGCACAAAATCAAATCAAAGGGGACCAGACTGATCCACATGAAACTGTCATGAACAGATTAAGCAAATTTAGGTTTTGGGACTAAATTAAAGCCTGATTAAGATTCAGGTCTCTGTCATCGGGCACATCAAACATGTTTCCTGTAAAGTAACGATCATGATTCCTTAATGCTTTCATTGAATAGTCCTCAATCATATTCTGTAAACATCTACATGTTATTGAATCTGAGCCACAGGAACTGAGAACTATTTGTAGTTCCTGGAAGCTTGTTAAGAGGAACCTTTTTCACTCCTGCCTTGGAGAGGGCCCTCTTAAGCACTGTTCATTGATCCATCAGTAAGTGTTCGGTGATTGGTCAAACACAAGGACCAATTCAGAACCATTAACCTCCATTTTTGTACCCCAGCATTAAGATGAGCAAAATAACATGACGTAACAGTCGGTTAAAACTCTGAAAATGGTGTGTAGTAGCATAGAGGAGTTTGAAAATATCAGATTTAGGCATAAATTCAGTATCGCACACTCCCAGTGCAGGGAACTCTGTAGTAGGCAGTCCCCAAAGACATCTTAGTAATCAGGTCTGTGAAATTATGTGTCATGGACATCCCCGTCCCTCTCAGAGGAAGAAGTCTGACAGCCTGTTGATGCTCCTCTGTGCGTATAAAGCTGAGGCTCTGACTCGACCAGCTTTCTTCTTTTTCTGTATCATGTCGAGTAAGAAATCTATTTTTTCCTTTTCAGTGTGAAGGTGAGCATGACCCACATCGCAAAGGTGGGAGTGGAAAGAAATCCAAAAAGTCCGGGCTTGGCTCCATGTTTGAGAAGCGCTCCACTCTAAAGACAAGTAAACTGAAGGTGAGACACTTCCACATTTCTAACCTCTCTATATAGATCTGTGAACCCCTTCAGGCTGTGCCACTGTAAAGAATAGCACAGCTGAAGGTAAAGCGATTTTAATCCCTCCTACTTTGATGTGTTGACAGGAAGCTCCCAGCCCCGAGGCTGAGGTGATAGTGAAAACAGCCCAGGATGGATGTGCAGAGGGTCTTGTTTATCGTGGAGGGGGGAAAGACGGGATCTTCATTAAAGAAGTGGTACCAGAGTCACCGGCCTCAAAAAACCTGAAACTGAAAGAAGGTAAACTCGCGGTTAAGTCGGTTTTTGGTGTTCATGTTTGAATTGATCTGGCAAATGTTTTTAATGACCAAGGGATGAATCCAGAGTGCTTCAAATATTTATCTTGTACTTTGATGATTTAACTCCTGCTCCATCAGATGTGTTAAAAAATGTTGGTAAAAACAGAATTTAAAGGTTTGCACATTATTTAAACTTCATATTCCACTTTAAACCACACACAGGAAACATTTCAAATGTCGACATTAAAAAATGTTTTTCTTGTATGAAAAATAGTTCATCACTGGCGGTCAGAAACCTTGTACTTCCATAAGGAATAAAATTATCTACAAGACATAATTTCATAAAATGATTGAAATCTGTGCAAAAGGAGAGGGTAAAAAAAAACACAAGATGGCAGGTTAAAACTGTACAATACACAAATAATCCTTAAATCAACTTCATCACTTCTAAAAATCCATTTTTCAGACTCAGGGCCACTAAAACATGTTGCTTTTGTTTACACAGGTGATCAAGTTTTGAGCGCCACTGTGTATTTTGACAATGTTCCATATGAGGACGCTATCCAGATCCTGGAGCACGCTCAGGCTTACAAAGTGAAGCTCTGCTTGAAACGCAAACCAGACATCAGTGAAACTGAACCCATCATGGATTCTGACGTCATCCCAGTAAATATGTTAATGATTTGATTCTTTGTGATAGATGCTCTTTGTGGGAGGAAAAAGACTTATATTTTTTTGTTTTGTTGCCCTTCAGGAGGACGAGACCTATACTCCAGAGATGAGGGAGCGAGGAAAAACCAAAAGGCGTGCTGATGCCCGCATTTCATGGCCCAAATTTCACACTTTAGGAAAGAAGTCCCACTTTACCAGATCTCACAGTTCCTCAGAGGCTGATGAGCAGAGAAAGCTTGAGCTTAGCCCCACCACAAGTGACACAGAGTCACCAATCAAATCTCAGGATGCTCTCAAAGGCAAAAAGAAGAACAAACTGAAGCTTTCTTTCCTGAAAATGAGAGGTCGAGTAAGTTCGTCTGAAGATCTGTGTTCAGACACGACGACAAATCGGCAAACTGGTGGCAAAACTCTCCAGACACAAGAATCATCAGACGTGCTTTCACCTGAGGGCCTTGAAAGCCCGTCAGGAGAGACCCCTGAAGTTTATGTAACAGGGGATCAGAAGGGGTTGGAAGACTTGAGAGCTGAGCAAACTGAACAAAACCTGACACATAAGATGGAACTCGTCAGTATTGATAGCACTTTGAAAACAGAAGATCTAACTGTGGCTCTGGCAGATCAAGAAAGCCCCTCTGGTGCAAAGTCTCCTGACGGGAAAAAGAAGAAGAAAGAAAGGTCTGAGTTAAAAATGAAAATTTTGGGGAAGGATAAATCACATAAGAAAGAGGCAAAAGCCAAAGCCTCACCAAAGAGGTTGAAAACACTCGGGGCAAGCATTGAAATAGCAGATCAGCCTGATAATGAAAAGACAAATGCAATCCCAAGTACTGAGACACACAAAGAGCTGCATGGAGATGACAAGCCACCTGATGCCAAAACTCAACCAATCAGCAGTGAGAATTTGCAAATAGACAAGAGTGTACCACAAGTGGAACTCGAAAAACCTGATGTCAAAACTGCCAAAAAATCTCCAAAGAAAGGTGAGAAATCGAAAAAAAGCAAGGACAAACAAAAACAAGATACCAAGGCATTTAAACTGCCAAAAATAGGTTTTGGCGACTTAACCACAGAGGAAGAAATTCCCAAACTGAATGCCAGTGTTGGAGAATGCACAGTAAAAATCGAGCCACCTACAGCTGATGGCACTGATGTGAAAGAAGATCCCTATGAGCGACTGTCAAAAAGCAGTCTTTCCAGGACTCAACTTCCCAAACGTGAAGACATTGAGATTCCTGGAATGGAGGATGTGTCTCGGAAGACCGCAACCAAAGGATCCAGAGAGGCCAAAATGATATACACGGGACATTTTGATGAAATTCCATCTGACCCTATACCAATATCAATTGACGTTGACAGTGTCAAAGAGGCGGTCTCAAAACTGCCTGGATACAAGCTGCCTAAGGTTGACACGTCTGGTGTGCCCATTCCTGAGGAAATTACTGTGATAGATGCAAATGCCCAAAGAATATCAGTCAAGACACCTACTAAAGTCGTAGATGCCAAAACAAAACACGAGACACACTTCACAAAGTTTGATATGTCTGCCTCTCCAAGCATCTCCAAGACCACAGTCAAACCACCAAAGATCCCAACTGCAGATTTGACCTCTGAGGTACTCCTAGTTGAGACCAAGATAGAAAAGAAAGACAAAACTGGAGAGAAAGAGAGCAACATAGAGATCAAAACTGGGGTTCACAAACGGGAAGATATTATCATACCTGGGAAGGAAAGTGCAGCTGAAGTAGCTCTTCTTCAGGCACAACATGATAAAAAATCAAAGAAGACAAAGAAATCAACACCTGGCTTTGGCATAACCATGCCAGACATAAGAGTCCCAGACATTGGAATTGACCTGCCAAAACAAAGTATTGCTCAGAACAAAGATGATGACTTAAAAGGAGAAAGAACTATATTCCTCCAAGATGTACAAATGACCGTAAATGAAACAAAGACAGTAAAGGTGCACACTGGAGGTGTTATATCTGATGTCAAAATCCCTGAAATTGATGGGATTGAATACATTGACTCAGTAGGTGAAAAGGATGGAGGCATCAGGCTGAAAGGTTTTGGTCTTGATGTTGCACAGCCAAATGCAGACTTTTCCCTTCCAGAAAAGGATGTGCCTAAAACGGAAAAAGCCGTAATCATTGATGGAGCAGAGATAAAAATTGTGGAACGAGAGAGACATGGTGGCATATTTAAAATGCCAAGTCTTGGCATCTCCATGCCGAAAGTGGAAGGACCTAAAATTGACCTGGGACTATCAAAGAAGGATGTGGATGTCACACTTCCTGGAGCTAAAGCAGAAGTTGAACTACAAAAAGTCTCTGAGGTCAAAAATACCCTTGGGAACATAGATGTTTCTGTTCAGGGCCAAAAGATAAAGGTTGAAAAACCTGAACTCGAAATCAAATCTGAGCAGTCTGGTCAAGGTGGCAAAATCAAGATGCCGGAGCTGGGGATTAAAATGAAAGCACCTCAATATGATTTGAGCTTCTCAAAGAAAGATGTTGATGTCAAACTACCGGAGGCTCACGCTGACGTCAAACTCCCAGAATTTACCAAGACTGAGGTTCAGCTTGCTGACATCAATGTTTCTATTCCAGAAGAAAAGCTGAAAGTAAAGACACCAGACATCAAAATCAAACCTCTTCAGACTGAGGCTGAGCTTGAGGGACATGGAGGCAAGATAAAAATGCCGAAGATTGGAATCACAATGCCAAAACTGGAAGGGCCTGAATTTAATGTAAGCTTGTCAAAAAAAGGTGCAGATGTGGCTCTACCAGATGCTACAGTTGAGACCTCTGATGTTCCCAAAATTGATGTTAAAATGAAATCCCCAAAAATTGAATCAGAAATGGATGAGCAAGGAAGCAAGTTTAAAAAGTTTGAAATGTCAATGCCAAAAGTAAAAATGCCCGAAATCGATTTCAGCTTATCCAAGAAAGAAGCAGATGTCAAACTACCAGAGGCCAAGGCAGATGTCACACTCCCTGATGCTGAGCTGCCAGATCCCTCTGCTCAACTAGATATCAAAGTTTCTAAAAGTAAAAGTTCTGAGAAGAATGTGGACGGATCACCATCAAAATTCAAAATGCCATCTTTGAAACTACCCAAATTTGGAGTTACTGCTCCTAATGTTGGAGTTGACATATCAAAGAAACCTAAAGCTGTTCCAGTTCCTGAGGCACAGTTAAAAACACTTGAGGAAGGTGTTACAGTGGATCTTACAGCCCCAAGCATTGACATTGAGGGCCCATCTCTTGATGTGAAAAAAACAGCGGCTGAAATTGATGGAAAAGGACACAAGTTCAAAATGCCCAAACTTGGAATCTCAGTGCCAAAAGTTAAAGGTCCTGAAATTGACCTGAGTTTATCACAACCAGAGGCTGAACTACCAGAAGTTGAAGCTGAGGTCAAACTGCTTGAGGTTGAATGTGCAGAACCTGGTGTGAATGTTCAGATTAAAGCTCCAGAGGTTTCACTTCAGCAACCCAATATTGAAGGATCACCATTGAAATTTAAGATGCCAACATTTAAACTACCAAAGTTTGGGTCTGATGTGCCAAATGCATCTGTGGAAGTACCAGATTTGGACAAAGACGCAAAACTTGAAGGACCAGACTTCAACATCTCAGCAGAGGGGTTGGCAGCTAATGTTACAGCACCCAGCATTGAGGGACCTTCAGTAGATATGCAAACAACTGGAGCTAGAGTGGATGGAAAGGGAATGAAGTTTAAAATGCCAAATCTTGGTTTATCCATGCCAAAAGCAAAAGGACCTAAACTTGATTTCAGCATCTCAAAGAAAGACGGAGATGTCACAGTACCAGTGGTGGAAGCTGATGTCAAGCTTCCAAAGGCTGATCTTGGAAAAGTTGATGTGTCTATTCCAGAGAGTACAATCAAAGTTCCAGATGCTGAGGTTGATGTCAAGCTTCCAAAAACCACTGAAATTAATGTGGAAATGAAACCACCGGAGTTTGAGACTGAAGGAACTTCTGGGAAGTTTAAAATGCCCAAGTTTGGAATTAATCTGCCCAAAGTGAAAGGACCAGATATCGACTTGAGCTTGTCAAAGAAAGATGTGGATATGTCATTACCACAGGCAAATGTTGAAGTCAAACTACCAGATGCCCCAAAACTTGATGTTAACCTTGGAAAGGCAGAAGTGACAATTCCAGATGCTAAAGTGGAAATGAAACAACCAGAGGTGGAAATCAAACCTTTAATGGCTGATGCTGAACTGGATAAACAAGGAAGCAGGTTCAAATTACCAAAGTTTGGAATTAAAATGCCAAAAGTAAAAGGACCTGAATTTGACATAAATTTCTCGAAAAAAGATGTAGATGTTACGCTAGGAGAAGCAACAGCTGATGTAAAAGTCCCTGATGTTGATGTGAAAATACCCTCTGCTGATTTGGATATTCAAACTCCCAAGATTGAGGCTCATTTGGAGGGATCTCCATCGAAAGTTAAACTTCCAACATTCAAGCTACCCAAAGTTGAAGGTGCCACTCCAACTATAAGTGCAGAAGTTCCTGAGAAGGACATACATATTAAAGGAGCTGAGCTAAAAATACCAAAAGATGGTATTGATATTGAAGTTCCAAATATTGATATTGTGGGCCCTTCACTTGATGTGAAAATTAATGAAACTGAAGTTGGGGGAAAAGAGAGTAAATTTAAAATGCCGAAATTTGGAATCTCCCTTCCAAAAGTGCAAGGTCCTAAAATTGATATTAGTTCATCAAAGAAAGGTGTGGATGTCAAATTACCGGATGTTAAAGCTGAACTCCCAGAAGCTCCTGAAATTGATGTCAGTCTTGGAAAAGTAGATGTTTCTATCCCAGAAGCAACAATTGAGATTGAAAAGCCTCAGCTGGAGATGGAATCCTTGCAGTCTCAAGGCGAATTTGCAGGGCAAGAAAGTAAGTTCAAGATGCCCAAGTTTGGAATCAAAATGCCTAAAGTTAAAGGGCCTGAAATTGATATCAGTTTATCAAAGAAAGGCGACATTACTCTACCAGAAGCCAAAGCAGAAGTCACTCTCCCTGATGTTAAACTGAAAGATCAGTCTGCTGAAGTGGAAATTAAAGCTCCTGAGATTGAAGTACAACCAAGCAGTGTTAAAGCATCACCTTCAAAATTCAAAATGCCAACTTTCAAATTTCCAAAATTTGGCGTTGGAGCCCCTAATGTAAGCATCGAAGGACCTGATTTTGACAAAGAAATCAAGATTGACGGAGCTGATGTGCAAATATCTGTGCCACCCACAGAAATTGATGTACCAAAAGTTGAAGCAGAGGTTCATTTGCCAGAGGTTGAAGTCAAGGATATTTCAGGGGTAGTTGTAATAGACCAACAGCCAGGTGTTGAGGTAGATGTAAAGATGAAAAAGCCAAAGTTCTCACTACCAAGTTTTTCTTTTTCAAAATCAAGTGTCAAGGCCCCCGAAGTTGATGTGAATCTTCAGGATGTGAATGCTACAATTCCAGAGGTAACAGGGCCTGGCATTGACTTAAGTATATCAAAGAAAGATGTAGATGTGACACTTCCAGAGGCAAAAGCTGCTGTCAAACTGCCTGAGGTTCAAATGAAAGGACCTTCTGCTGAAGTGGAAATGAAATCTCCTGAGATTAAAGCTGTAAAAAAGGACACTGAAGGATCACCATCGAGGTATAAAATGCCAACATTCAAACTACCAAAATTTGGAATGAGTACACCAAGTGCAACTGCAGAGCTGCCTGAACACAGCACAGATCTCAAAATTCATGAAGCAGACATAAAACTCCCTGAGGAAATCTTAACAGTTGACATTAAAGGACCAAAAATAGACATCAAAACTGAAAGTGTAGAACACGAAGGAAAAGGAAGCAAGTTTAAAATGCCAAAGCTTGGAGTAACGATGCCAAAAGTCAAGGGACCTGACATTGATTTAAGTTTGTCAAAGAAAGACGTTGATGTGACACTACCAGAAGTCGAAGCTGAAGCAAAAGCCGAGGTAAAACTCTCAGATGTTGACCTTAAAGGGCCTTCAGCTGAAGTTGATGTTAAAGCTCCTGAGATCAAAGTCAAAACAAAAGACAAAGAAGGGTCGCCATCGAAATTTAAAATGCCAACATTCAAACTACCCAAATTTGGAGTAAGTTTGCCAAGTGCCCATTTGGAAGGGCCTGATACGAGCAAAGACCTGAGTGTAGATGGAGCTGATGTTACAATTCCTGAAAAGGACCTCAAAGTTAGTATTGCTGCCCCAGACATTGACATCATTGGCCCATCCATTGATATCACAAGCACAGGAACTGGTCATGAAGAAAAAGGAGGAAAGTTCAAGATGCCAAGTCTAGGTTTTTCTACACCACAAGTTAAAGGGCCTGACATTGATTTAAGTTTATCCAAGAAAGAGGTTGATGTGACACTACCAGAAGTCAAAGCTGATGTCAAACTCTCAGGCACTGAAGTTCAGGGACCTACCACTGAGGTTGATATTAAAGCTCCTGAGATCAAGGTCAAAACAAAAGAAGGATCACCATCGAAATTCAAGATGCCAACATTTAAGCTACCAAAATTTGGTGTAAGCTTGCCCAGTGCCTCTGTGGAGGGGCCAAATACTAGCAAAGACCTGAGCATTGATGGAGCTGATGCTACAATTCCTGAAACAGATCTTAAAGTTGATATTGCAGCACCCAGTATCGATGTTAAGGGTCCATCCATAGATATAAAAACCACAGGAACTGACCATGAAATGAAAGGAGGAAAGTTCAAAATGCCAAGTCTAGGTTTTTCAACACCTCAAGTTAAAGGGCCTGATATTGACTTTAGTTTGACTAAGAAAGATGTCGATGTGACACTTCCAGAGGCCAAAGCTGAAGTGACACTCCCAGATGTTGATGTAAAAGGACCTACTGCTGAAGTGGACATTAAAGCACCTGACATCAAGATTCAAGCAAAAGACAAAGAAGGGTCACCCTCAAAATTTAAGATGCCAACATTCAAACTACCAAAATTTGGAATAAGTATGCCAAGTGCCACAGTGGAAGTACCTGAACCTCACATTGAAGCAAAAATCAATGGAGATGATATTAAAATGCCAGAGGAGGTACTTACAGTTACAGCACCCAGCACTGACACTGAAGGTCTATCAGTGGATATGAAAGTCACAGGAACTGAGCATGAAGGAAAAGGAAGCAAGTTTAAAATGCCAAAGCTAGGTGTAAGTATGCCAAAAGCAACAGGTCCAGAAATTAAAGGGCCTGACATTGATTTAAGTTTATCCAAGAAAGAGGTTGATGTGACACTACCAGAAGTCAAAGCTGATGTCAAACTCTCAGGCACTGAAGTTCAGGGACCTACCACTGAGGTTGATATTAAAGCTCCTGAGATCAAGGTCAAAACAAAAGAAGGTTCACCATCGAAATTCAAGATGCCAACATTTAAACTACCAAAATTTGGAGGAGGTTCATCTAGTGCCACTGTGGAGCTGCCAGATACTGACGAGGAGCTCAAAATAGGTGGAACCATTGGCATTCCAGACAAGGATCTCAAAGTTGATGTCAGTGTCCCAGATGTTGACATTAAAGGCCCATCAATAGAGATAAAGACCACAGAAACAGACAAGGAAGGAAAAGGAAGCAAGTTTAAAATGCCAAGTCTTGGTTTTTCTGCACCTCATGTCAAAGGACCTAACATTGATTTAAGTTTGTCCAAAAAGGACGTAGATGTGACACTACCAGAAGCCAAAGCTGAAGTCAAACTCCCTGAAGTTGAAATGAAAGGACCCTCTGCAGAAATTGAGGTCAAAGCTCCTGCAATCAAACCAGGAAAGAAAGACTCTGAAGGCTCACCATCAAAGTACAAGTTACCTACTTTCAAACTACCAAAATTTGGAGTGAGTACACGAAGTGGCACTATGGAGATGCCTGAAAGTGAAACAGACCTTGTGATTGATGGAGAGAAAGTAAGAATTTATGAGAAGGAACTCAAAATTGACGTTGCAGCCCCAAGCATTGACATTGAGGGCCCATCAATAGACATCAAAACTAAAGGTGTTGAACATGAAGGAAAAGGAAGCAAGTTTAAAATGCCAAGTCTTGGTTTTTCAGCACCACAAGTAAAAGGGCCTAACATTGATCTGAGTTTGTCAAAGAAATACGTTGATGTGACACTACCAGAGGCTAAAGTTGAGGTTGAAGTGAAAGGACCTTCAGCTGACGCGGAAATTGATGCACCGGCAATAAAGGGTGGGAAGGACATTCAAAGCTCACCATCGAAATTTAAGATGCCAACATTCAAACTACCAAAATTTGGGGTAAGTTTGCCAAGTGCCACTGTGGAGGGGCCTGATACTAGCAAAGACTTGAGTGTAGATGGAGCTGATGTTACAATTCCTAAAAAGGACCTCAAAGTTAGTATTACTGCCCCAGACATTGACGTCATCGGCCCATCCATTGATATCAAAAGCACAGGAACTGGTCATGAAGAAAAAGGAGGAAGGTTCAAGATGCCAAGTCTAGGTTTTTCTACAACACAAGTTAAAGGGCCTGACATTGATTTAAGTTTATCCAAGAAAGATGTCAAAATTGAAGCCCCAAGCATTGACATGGAGGGTCCATCAATAGACATCAAAACTAAAGGTGTTGAACATGAAGGAAAAGGAAGCAGGTTTAAAATGCCAAGTCTTGGTTTTTCAGCACCTCAAGTCAAAGGGCCTAACATTGATCTAAGTTTGTCAAAGAAAGACGTTGATGTGACACTACCAGAAGTCAAAGCTGAAGTCAAACTTCCTGAACTGAAGGACTCTTCCACCAAAGTGGAAATGGCAGCCCCAGGGATTGATGTCAAGACAAGTAATATTGAGGGATCACCAACAAAATTCAAAATGCCCACTTTCAAAATGCCCAAATTTGGAGCTACTCCTGTGCAGGTCAGTGCAGAACTTCCAGATATTGACAAAAATATTAAAATTGAAAGTGAGAAGCTGGAATTATCTAAAGAGGGTGTTTCAGTAGATGTCACAGGACCCAGTGCAGACATTGAAGGCCTATCTGTAGATCTGAAAGGTAAAGGACGTGAAATGGAAGGATCAGGTAGCAAGTTCAAGCTGCCAACTTTGGGCATCTCTCTGTCCAAAGTTAAAGGACCGGAAGTTGATGTAAGTTTATCAAAGACAGATGTCGATGTCACACTCCCAGAAGCAAATGCTGAGATCAAACTGCCTGATGTCGGAGTAAAAGACCTTAAAGATACCATTACAGCACCAGATGCGCCATCAGTTGAGGTTGATGCCAAGTTAGGACGACCGAGCTGGTCATTTCCTAAATTTTCATTTTCAAGCAAAGGTGCTAAAACTCCTGACATTGATGTAAACATTGAAACACCAGAAGTTGATATTTCATCAGGAGATGCAAAAATTGATCTCTGTCCTCCTGATGTTGATATCCAGGGACCTTCAGGGACCATTTCCACAGAAGAGCCAACTGCAATAGAAACTGATGCAAACTTGAAAAGATATAAATTTTCTCTACCCCGCCTATCTTTCTCAAAGTCAGCTGTTAAAGAACCTGAAGTCAGTGCTGAACCTCCACAACTGGATATTTCTCTTCAAGAGGGGAAAGTGATAGTCACTCAGCCTTCAGCAGAAACTAAAGGTGAGCCTGAAACTGAACATGATGGACAAGGAAGCAAGTTCAAATTGCCAAGGTTTGGCATTGCACTACCAAAAGCAAAAGAGCCTCAAGAGGAGTTAAATGTGTCACAGAAAGATGTAGACATTAAACTTCCAGAAGTTACACTTCAGGCCAAACTTCCTGGAATTGAAGTCAAGTCTTCATCAAGTGGAGAAGCGAAAGCATCTGAGACAGCAGCTAAGGCAAAAGATGCTGGAAGATCACCTTTAAAAAGTCAAAGTGTTGAGGTCAAGATGGATGGCTCTAAAGAAGAAACACCAGATACGGAAACACCAGCAACTGAGGGTGAAAGTGTAGGTCCAGGCTCTCCGAGTAAATTCAGGCTACCATCGTTTAAAATGCCAAAGCTAAGCTTCTCAAGGTCAAAATCTGAAGACCAAAATACTCCTGTTGAAACTGAATGTCGAGATGATCAGGTGGACACTGAGCCAAAAGAAGAGAGTAAATCACCAAAAGTGACTCTGACATCATTTGGGGAAATCCTCAAAAGTATTGATGTTGAATTTGATGTTTCAAAAACGGAAGAAAATCTTGAAACATCAAAGGAAGTTCACAAAACAGATGAACTCAGTGGGAAAGAGACAAAGGAAAAGGAAGCGCATACCAAGCAAGATGCCAGCAAAAGTCCCGAAAGGACGGGTTGGTTTAAATTTCCTAAGTTTGGACTGTCGTCTCCATCGGAACCTGCCAAGATTCCTGTAAAAGACAAAGATGGAAAGAGTCCAGAAGTGGAAACTGTGGATGACACAGTAAGTCCCACCTGCTCTGTTCAGTCATCAGACGCCTTTGCTGACATTAGTTCTGCAATGACGAGTGAGCATATTGGTGTGTCCTTATCTTCTCCAACCAAGGTAACAGTCAAATACTCAGATCCCAGCACTGCCACAGAGCTTGGAGAGGTGCACAGTAACATCATTACTTCCACCACAAGGACCGAGATGATCTCAGTAGAGCCTGACCTACCTGAGAAAATCACCATTCTATCATCTGGAGTTTCTTCATCATCTGAAGACACACTCAGACTTGAATCTGGAAAAATACATGTCATAACATCTAACATAGAGGCAACCCCAGGAGCACAGCAGGCCAAGCTTCTGACCACTCTCCAAGTCCAATCAGCTGGAGGTGTTCCCCTTCAGTCTGAAACGACCAAGACCGCATCATGGACTATTGACGAATCAAAAGGAGGCAAGACAACAGTGTATGAGAGGCATTTAGTCACAGAAACAACAGGTGAAAGAAGTGAAAGCAAAGAAACAGTTGTTATAACAAAGCAAATCACGCGCATGTTAGACTCCGCTGAGCACATCTCCGGTGAGACAGCTACATCCATTCAGCGGCTGAAAAAGACTGTACACTCAGAGAAAATGAAGTTCTTTGATGAGGTTGAAAAGTGAAGTAGCTTAGCTTTCATTTTGACTTAGAATACAATCCACACCTATCCATGCCCAACAGCCAGTTGGATCCTAATCTACAGTCCATTCAACAGTGAGACAGAAATCATGTTGTCAACTGGAAAAGGTTGGTAGCAACTTTGAACCTACCAATCACATGAGAGAATCGGTCAGCGTTCAGGTGTTTGCTTCAGTTTCTGGTTGCATGTTGCTAACCTGTAAAAAGATGAAGATTAGTAATTTATACCGATAACGTGAAGATGTCAATAAGCTGTGTAACTGAGCAACCTTCCAGCAAACTATGAATTACCCAAATACCACTGCTTACTATAGTACAGCACGAAAATAAGCCATGTCTGTTGCTTATAAAAATGTATATCTTTGTCATTTCAAAGTTTTTAATGAATAACACTGATCAACATATCCTATTTATCAGATGATAATTCTATACAAGTGAAAATCACCAGTGCATTTGATTTGATCTGATCAAAACCGTTGCAAAAACAATCAAGGTTAATGACATTCCAAAAAATGTTTACACTAATTTTACTGTAAAGTTGAGAGTAGATAACACCTACAAAATAATACTGAGTATATGGCAGGCAAATAATATGTACATGTATTATCGAGATATTCTTGTTGCTGTAGCTAAAATGTAAAGAAAGTAGTGATGCTAAGCTGAAATGAGATGCTTATAATCAAACACAGCAAGTGTACTGCTGCAATTATATTTTTTATTAATATTTTGCTTACAACCTAGTTTGCTACAGTAAAGAAATATACCAACAGTATGTTTCTCCTTCTTTATCACTGTACAAAGTGGAGATATTTAACTGTCTGTAAATAGCTTTTAATGATCCCTGGGGTTTTATTTAACCACTGCTCATTTTTGAATTCTCATGACAACTTGCAAAGATATAAACGAAAAATAAATACTGTAAGCAAACCTTTGGCTGAACCTTATTGTGTGGTGTGGTCTGTGTTCAAAAGTTGGTTGGTTTTAAGCCTGATTGAGGTTTTTCCTGTTTAGTTAGTAAATTAAAAAAAGATCAAATTTTGCAACAGTTTGGTACCCCAAATTTAAAAATTTGCATATTTTTAGTGCTTTCGAATTAGGTTAAGACTACAGATACAAATCTTGTGTCTTCTGAAACCAGGTCCTACTTTTAGTAATAGGAGTATTTAGCGATACGTCTCATTCTCATTGTGCAGAATATAAAGCTCTGCAGATAGACAAACTGCAAACCACAGCTAAGACGCACTATATTTGGCTAACTGATCACTCTTTAAGTCACAGCATGTGGCTTTGGCAACAATTATCAGCACAGATTTAGTACAAAATGGAGCATAATATCATTAAAATTATGTAACCGTCTGGATACTTACAATGGGCCTTTTAAATCTTTGAAGGAGAGAGTCCCCATCCACAGAGACAGCCACCTTGCACCGTCAGGTTTCTATAATAGCACAGAAAAGACAATTCACAAATATAGTTATCATGCAACACTGGTGCATCTTGTAGGGAAGAGAGGGGTAAGATAAACAGTTTTTCATATTTTGGATCACTACATCAGGTCAATCATAGTTTTGTCTCTAACTAGTACTTTCTGCATATATTTCAAGATGTTGTTAATCCCTGCAAACCAACAGAATGAGTGTAAACATAACTGTCTTAATAATATAGCATGCCAAAAAAAGTGGTCTCCTATGGACAATTTACCCCGTGTATGGGGTAAGTTCACCCATACACGGGGTAAGTTGACTCCCTATTCAACTGGTACAATAATTCTTTCTATTATTATTGCATATAACTGCTAAAAAGCTGTTTTGTAAAAACACATTTTAACATGAGAATGTCTTGAAGTGATTCAGAACATTCACAGCTGTAGATCTGAAAAGAAAAAGTCAAACATTTCAACAATCTGAACTGAAACTCTGATCCTCTCATCAGACTCCTTTACTTTCTCAGTCCTCTGAGCTAAAATGGTGGACTTTTATCCTGGGTTTTTGACCTCATGTTGTAGCTCGTAACCACAGTTGATGTATTAAAAAAATTTAAAATGATCTTTTTTGGTCTGAACACAATTCCAATCAAATTATGACAGACTAAACTCACTTTCAAGAGAATTTCATGTAGGATCTGGGTTATGGATATTGCTAATATTCCCATTTCAACACACTACACCAATATTTAATCATGTATATTTATATTTTCTTACATTGTGTAGGCCCACAGACAGGTTCGGATTGAAATTTAAGGATTTGATAAAGTTTAGGAGAGTACATTGTGATTCAATGAGGTGCCTGGTGAGTGTGAAAACTATAAAAACAAGTAGCAGATGTCATCCAGTAAATGCTTTTAACTGCAAATCACCTAAATGTCCCTTTAATAAAATATAGTATCCATACAAAGAGATAATGCTGACAGGCTGAAGTTAGGGTTATCATTTCCTGAACACCAAACACTGCCTTGGAGGAGCTTTAACACATGTATTTGCACACTAGAGGGAGACACAGCTGATATTTCTCCTACGGTAAAGTCTTGGGACAGAACAAACCATGAGAAAGAGCAAACTTTTTCACACATATGTGAAACCTCGACTCTGTGCTAGCAAACAACCCGTATTTTCTTGCTAGGGGCTCCGTTACTGTTTCTGAAAGCTAAACTCGACAAACTTTAACGTTTTGTAAAAACACACGACAAATTCGACGTACAGAACGGGAATGTATCGTCATATGGACGAATATCAACATTATATAGAAAAATAAGTGAGGTTACCTGTCCAAATCAGCTAACTATGCTAACAATATTAGCATATTTAAACTCATTAACGGCTGCCCGGTTCACCTGGTATGATGCTGCCTTCAGGTGCTTCTCGTAAGTAACCGTTTCAAGACTAATCATTGAGATTTTCAGATTTAACTTGTGTCTTTTATGAACGTTACATTGTTCAGAAGAGCAAACTCATTACCCACAAGATAAATAATAATCAATGAGTTCACGTAATTTCCTAATAAAACACCTGAGTGCACTGCGGCAAGGGTTGTCGTTGGATAAACTCGGGTTTTACAACTTGTGACACAATATCGTTCAATGCTGTAGTGTTTAACACAAATGAACCATTACATCAACTGATCTGTGTCAGCCACAAAAGGAAAATCGACGTTTATGAATGTTTAAATCGTTGATTCTTACCGATTGCAAAATATCTGACAGTCCCTGAAGGCAGCATCGGTCCACTGTCTTTGCGCAGACTCCGAACACTTCGATGCGAGCGGCAACTTCACCGGTAGCTCTGCGCGCCCCGCCGCCTGTCGCCCACAACAGCCCGCATCATCATCACCATCATCATCATCATCATCACCATCATCATCCTCATCAGCAGCAGCAGCATCAGTGTGATGAAGCAGCGGAGGACGGAGACCTTCCTGCTCTGAGACTCTGGATCTGCCCGCTGACAGGTACGGAGCTTTTTTATTCCCACTCTGAATATAACCGGATAAAACCTCTTTTATTTCCAACTCTGATCCAGGATCTCATGAAGTCTTTTTTTTAAGACTTTTTAAAAAATTTAAGTAACTGTTAAACTATTTTTGTTTTTAAAATCATTATATGAACTTACATTTAAAGCATAGAAACTCATTGAACCTGCTGTACTTTGTGGTTTTTCTGCACTGGTGGTGCTCAGTGTGTGGGATTGTGGGCAGAAAGCACTGATCAGTGTGTGTGTGTGGTGTGTGTGTTAAAGTGTGGGTGTAGGAGAGGCTGTGTTTTATATTTAAATCTATTTATAGTACGTGATACCTGCAGTTATCTGGCTACCTGTTGTGTCCATGCGAGTAAATCAGAATTAAACATTAATTAGTGGCATTAAATTAAATTCATGTGCCATTAAAACATCATATAAGTGCATGTGAGTCAAAAACTAGAACAGGAAATGTGAATTAGGGCAAAATACACTCGAGACATAAAATAAAAACACTAAAAAAAACGAGCTGTGGATTGTTTCAGGTAGCTGCATGTTTTATGAAGAAGATATCTCTATATTTGGCAATGGATTAAATCATTTCTGCATGTCCCTGGGCTGTGTAAACTTACTGGGTTATCCAAGGAACCTGAATTTGAGGAGGTGGTGTTGCTGCTGGCTCTGTTTCGCAACAGAAATGAAATAAAGTGGAGCTGGAGCGAAAGAGGACAGAGAAAGTAGAGTGGTCATTCTTCAGCAGAATTCAGTATCTGCAAAAAAATGAAATAGTGAGATTTCATGAGTAGTCCTCAGAGGTGCCAATTTTTGAGAATTGCTGCCACTTTAACTGGACAGTCTTCATAGTGCTGGTTCTCATGATGGACAGGAGAGAGGAGGAATTTTAATACATGAGGTCAAATCTTTCTTTCCAAGCAGCGAGGATGAAGAAAATGAGACCGTTGCTGCAGGCAGAATTGTTTCCTGGAGATTTGGATAGGTTTCAAGAAGAGATCAGATCTCTGTGTGTTTTTAAAAACACTAGTAGGTGCAAGAATCTGGCTTTAGTGTGAAGTCTGCAATCCAGCAACATCAGGGTACTGGTGTGGGTTTTTGGCTTGGACAGGTGATTTCTCAAAGCTGTGAATATTGTTTTTTTGTTGTTTTATTGTCAATTAACTTGTCAGTTATTTAATCAGGTATGAAAATGATTTTAAAAAAGAGGGTGCCTGAGAACAAAGAAGGTGTTTTCACTTTTACTGTGGAATAAACAGTTAGACCTCCCCAGTGTATTTAGGAGTAATAAGAACAAAAGTGACAAATAATGCCCCCTGGGAGCTTGTGCTATTCTTGACAATGACTCAAACAAATGATTTCTCAGCTCAACTGTAAGTACTGTAATTTACTTTGTCTCTCTCACAGTTTTTATTATGTAAGCGTTTTTGATTTGCACTTAAAGTTTAAAGAAACGGAGCATTTAATCAGTTCAGGAGGTATAATATCCTTTAATAGAGTAAAAAAAAAGACAGTCTGAATAAGTTTCTCCTCTATGAAGTATTGCATAATAAGTAGGGCCTCACAATAAATCACAGTTTGGTTGTTAATAAACATTTCCAAAGTCTAAATTTATTTCAATAAATCTGACATATTATTTAAAGCTACTGTGTGGAGTTTTAGGACTGGTTAGGAAACAGTCTGAAAATAACAGTGATGACTTTTTGTGACCTACAGAGGAAAACAAGACCATCAGTGACAAAATCACCACTTATCATGAAGTAATTTTCAACGCCGAAACTGCTGTGAGGGGGTAGGTGTAAGACGAGACCACTGACAGCAATCTAAAAACATACTCTTACTTTATTTATCAGAAGCAAATCTTTACAGGAAGTGACTCATTTAACGGTTAACAGACACCTATTGTCAGAAAATACAGCTTAGACACGGAAAGTTCCTCACAGGAGCTTTAAAATGCTTTTCTGAATTTATTTTGGATTAAGCACTGATGACAAACGCAGGTTATGTTCAGGGTAACTCATGATGTTGTGCTTAATACATCGCCCATGAAAACGACTTTTGAGAACCGGGTCAGGGTGGCCAGAAGTATGTGTGTCCAGCTCTATATTCACCCTGTTTTTACTATCTACTTAAACTACTATCATTAAAGTACTACCGTATTTTTCACACTGTAAGGCGCACCATCAATGAATGTGTCTATTTTCATACATAAGGTGCACCGGATTATAAAGCGCATTAAGCCAAACAAAACAGTCAGATAAGTCAAACTTTATTTAACTCATTCAATAACTCCGCGAGGCTACGGTAGCTGCAGTGCTCTGACAAGCCAAAAGGATTTTAAATACACTTTATAGTGTGAAAAATACGGTATATAGTTATTTTTCTTGTGTGATATTTTTGGGTCATTAAAGTAAATACAAAACTAAATCATTTTCACAAGTTTAACAATCAAAGTTTGAGTTAACTATTTCAAAGTTACCCATTGGATTTAGTCCATAAAATATTGCACAAAGACCGACAAACTAATAATAAAGCATTTTAAATGTTTCATGAGTGTGTTTTAGTTTTGCTGGTCAATGGCAGACCCTCGCATCTTCACAGTCTGTGAGGTGGTAAATCTAAAGTTGGGGAAACTAGTTGGTGGCAGAGTGGTGTCTTTGGAGTAGCACCTCTTTTCCAAGCCAAACCTCCATGAATATGAGAAAGATGAAGTTATTTTATTTTGTCTCCTGGAGTTTTTTATATTTAATTTAAACTTCAGCCATGCAGGCTGCCAGCAGGACTGTCCCTTTAGATCTGAAATTAAAACTTTAATTTAAACTCTGAGGAAAAAATTTATATTCGAACTGTCTGAAACTCATTATAATACAGTACTTGTGCGCTTTAGGCTGCCTGAAGTAGAGATCCAGCAGAGGGCGCTCTCCTTGTAATCTGTCCTACATCAGTTTGTCCTGCTCGGCTTTATCAGATACAGTTAATATGCAAATAATCAAGGTGTGCTTTGACTGTTTTCTGACGTACTTGACATTGCCATTTTGCACATCAGTTAAACAAAGATAAAGATAAAACTGTAGATGATTCAAGTAGCCAATCATAGCGAGGTGGCCTAGTCGATATGAAGGGGGTTAGTGGCACCCCTGGCTGCCCCTCTGGACTCACCCCTGTTTATTCTATTTGTTTCACATTGTTTATTCTGTTTATTAAATATAAGCCCTGGTTTTTAGATGCTAATTAATAAATCCTTTTACTTAGCAGGTCACCTCTAAAACATGTATTTCACAGCTGACACATTTGTGTCTCTGAGTCTGGGATCTTTTTTATTCATCACGTTGTGAGACGTGACTCTCTGTGTGAAATCAGATTTAGTCTCACAGGTTAAGACCATGAAATCTCCAGTTAAACATAATTTACTTCAGCTCAAGATAAAATAAATCAAAGCTTAAGTGTGAAAATTGTTTTATTCAAAGCAAAGATTTTACCCTCTGCTTAATGGAGCTTATTAAATGGATTTATTTGATATTTATTCTCATGAAACTCCAGATGAAACTCTTCAAACCGCTTTTAATACTTATATAAAGTGTCTTAACATTTCAAGTCTCAGCTGAGGCAGAAGTGAAGCGGCTTCCTGCAGAGTGAAGAGGCAGACATTAACACATGGATAACCTTGTTCAGACCTAATGTCTCAAATAAGAGGTTATTATTATTCAGCTGCAGAAGAGGGTAAGAAAGCTTGACAGAGGCGTCACGCCTGGCATCTACATTCAAATTCTTGTGTCTGTTACGCTTCACATCTCAGCAGAGGGAGTGCACTTCTCAGAAACGAGAACAGACTGGAGACATGTGCAGGGCCTCTCCAGTTTCTGCTTCCAGATCAGCAGAGCCTCTTTTGCTTTAAGTGTGTTAAAGCCGGACATGAGACCAGCCGGAGTGACCGCGCAGAGGAACAATAAGAGTCTCTGCTGAATAATAATGGCTGCATTGTCTCGGTGCTGGTGTGAAGACGGACCAAAGCGAGTCCAGGTTTCGCAGAGAAGTCTCACAACAGCACGGCAAAGTCCTGACCGAGGTAATTGCCGCATATCGGCACACATGAATACCCCCAAATCAGCCCTCAGCCTCGTGTGCTCAGGCAAAGTGCACTACTCAGACAATCAGAGCCATACAATCTAAAATGCTGGTCCCCATGGCAACAGCAACTGCCGGTGTGATTGTATGGAAAGTGGTGTTTCTGATAACTTGTCACATGTAAAGTCTGACACTCAGTAGTGGGCTGAGGAATGGTGCTGTTTGATGGTTTTTAAAGAGGCAATAGTCCCACATTTGTATTTATATCTATTCAAACGACGGCGTTAGTTCTGCTTTAGGCATTATGTAAGTGATTCTGCACAACCAGGTGTTCTTACATAAGGAAGTAATGAGGAGGCAGAGGTGAAGGATGCCATAATATCACTCAGGTCATCATCACATCAGTTAAAGCCTCTTTTAAAAACACCTTACAGACAGACAGCTGGTTAATACTGTATAACATTCAGCAGCGAAAGAGCCCGGTGGACAAAGATGATTTCACATTCATTATTTTTGGAGGACCAACTGAGCTGGTCTCTCAAAACACTCAATCTCTGCTTTTCGCACCATTTTAGGTTCGAACCGTATGATCCTGACGGAGCTGTGCGCAAGATTAGCATTAAAAGAGGGCGACGCTGAGAGATGAGACCACTTCAGATTTAAGGGTCCATCTCAGGATCAATCGCCCGCTGACCGCTGCCTGGATACCATGGAGTGCTTGGATTATCCGCAGCCACAGATTTGCAAAACATGGTGTGCACTCATTGAGCTCTTTCTGTGAGACGGCCGTTAATAGACACTCTAGTCTGCAAAGTGGTCCAAACACCCCCTTTCTGAAGGACTTACATCAGGACCAATGTCGATAATAAGTTTTGTTTCTTTTACCGCCACTTCGTTGTGAAATAGAAAGGGATTGTTTTTGAAGCAGCAGTCACCGTTTTGGAAATGCTGACTCAAGCTAACTTTTGGATGACCAGAGAATGTGAAAAGATGGAGTTGAGGCGGACCTGTCTTAGCTAGGGTCGAGTCAGATATTCTCCTGATAACCTCAATACTAATACATGATAATAATTCACTCCCTGCTCAGTCTGTGTGGAAGAAAAATGATCATTTCAGACCAAAATTTTCTCTATAGACGAGGTTATTTGTGCTCTTAAATGAATGGGTGTGTATGTGATTACCGACACTCTTGCAGCCAGCCTCTAGTGGTCACTTAGGGAACTGCAGTTTTTAGCTCTTTGGTATCAGCTTGATAGAAGCTCTCATCGTTGTTCTCACTCATCCATCTGCTCTCTCTCACCTTCTTCTTTTCTTTTTTTATCATGATCTCAAGCTTAGATCTAAAATTCCAGGAATCATATTCAAATGATTAATAATCCTTAAAATCAGTATGAATGTAAGTGTTTTTGGGGTTTTATTGGTCTGTCAGACTCAGTACCGCCTTCAGTATTTGTTGTGTTGCAGCCAAATTTGGAAATTTTAGAACAATGTGTGCGTGTGATTGTGAGAATGGTGCAGTGCAGCATGAGCCAACTGCCCGAACTAGCTCTCAGGCTTCACTCCATAAATGGGATTGTAAGATTGATTCCCACTGAGCTCCAAGTGACAAGAAACACAGAAATTGACTGACACAAGCAGATTATAACCCTAACCCTAACCTCAGCCATTCTCTATGATGTTGTCATTCTATAAAAACATAGAGGGTGACGGTGGCGGCTCGTCAAACTTTGACGTATGAACTGAAAATTTACCGATACAGAAATTTACAACACTAACCACGTCATTTTGCCCATAACGGTGTATTCGGTGTCAAAAACAAATAAATAAATCAAAGTTTGTTTTGGATGTGTGTAGGTGAGGAGATGGAGGACGGTTCAAAAGTTGTAGCGGCTGAAGTTAATGTGGGAGGGGGTGAGCAGCTTGTGGAGTAGTTATCGTCCATTTATTGTTATTGAGGTTAACTGATAAATATATCGTGATATTGATTTGAGGACATATCGCCCAGCCCTACTTTGACCTCTCGTTGTGAAACAGGAAGTCAATGTAACTCTTTGATACAGTGATCAATCTGTTTGGTATTTCATATGCATGATCACGAATCCCCTTGAACACATTGACATTCAGACCTTTAGTTGCGTTCATAGCGCCCCCTCTGGTAGGACATGGTACTAACTTTCACATGCAATACTCATCCTTATATAGATTACTGCAGTGCCACCTATTGAACGGGAGCCATAAAAACATTTAACAGTTAAAAACATAATTTTTTCTTTAATGAGCTGTAGTTTATCTAAGTTTCAGCCACACACTCTCCACTCTGTGTGGAAAATTACACATTTGCTCATGGTTTTGGCCCGAGCTCATCTCCATAAAGTTTGCTCTTGGTGAATTCATGACTGCAGCAGAGGCAGATCCACAAAGGTGCAGGTAGCCGATTCATCACCACTCGGGACCTTATTACCGACAGTTTTAGTTAGTCTGAATTTCTATTTCTATTTAACTAACTGGGAAATTCGTCACTTTGACACATCCCTAAGGCCTGACAGAGGTCACAGACATTATAGATAACTGAACAGAAGTAATCAATCTTCATCCTGATGATCTGGTTTACTTTTGTTGCCCATGAAAAGGTATCAGCAGAGATTCTAGTCAGTTTCATAACCAGTAAAAGACAAACTTGAGCTGTTGTTTGGACGCCTGTTGTTGTTGTCCCCATTCATCTCGTTAATTTCACTGTCAGTCACTTTAAACTGTGCAGCGACTCGTTTTAAACTGCTTTTTTAATTAACAGCAGCTGGAACATGCAGTCCAGCCGGAGCAGCCCAGCAGAGAAACTGTGTTCGGTTTATCGATCGGTGATCATCAGTGTTTGTTTTCCCGCAGGATGACCGAGGTGATGAACTCTCTGGAGCCGGCTACGGAGGATTTCAGCGGGGGTGGAGCAGCAGCAGATCAGGGCGCAGTATCCTTCCGTACGGCTGTGTGTTCATATGTTTGCGTGTGTATGTGTGTGTGTAGATTATTCAAACCAGTCGGGTTTTATTGAAATAGAAAGCATGAAGCAGTGAGTCACAAGAGTGATGAGCAAGAGTAAAATGTGGGTTGACGTGACTTAATGTTTGGTCGGACTCGGCCCTGCTGAGAGTAAATGGTATGTATCTTCTCCAGCTGAATGAGTTATCCCCTGTTACTGTACATTTATTCTCTAAACATCATTATTAGGTGCAGAGTGTGCGGAAGGATCGCCCTGTCAGGGGTGTCTGAGTTGATTAATTCCTGGAGTTTCCTCGTGTGTTGCTCCTCAGGTTCACGTAAGGGGACTTTCCTCGGTAAACAGGTTCAGGGAGCTTTATAATCCACTTTCTAGGGATTAGATTTCAGAGGTTTTTTAAAGTCTCAAACCTTCAATTTTATTAAGTTTTCCCCTGAGGATCAAAAATAGACATACAAGTCTGGAGGGTTAAAAATAACAGTTTTCCACGCAGTTTTTTCAGTAAATACATGCAGTATCAGGACACACTGACAGTCATTGTCTGACAACTCTATTTAATAAATGCCCCTCAGGACAGATGCCAACTTTTCAGTGATTCCAGTTAAATCAGTGAGCACTAAATGACTTCCAGCTGAGATTATGAAAGGTTAACACCGTCATTTTTGGTGTATTACAGTCCCTGTTTCAATTAGGTCTCTCTTCAACAGGAAACAGCGATGTAATCCAGAAAATAATCATAATAATCTCATGATTTTCTTACATTTTACAGAGCTGGAGGGATTTGAAGGAAGATATAATATGCAGACTTTATCAGGGGATAATGAAGCAGTAGACCGTTTCTTGCAATATTAAAATATATGTAAACATGTTTGAACTAAATTGCACCTTTTCAAAGGGCGGCACAGTGGTGTAGTTGTTAGCTCTGTCGCCTCACAGCAATAAGGTCCTGGGTTTGAATCCGGGTCAGTACGTTTCTGTGTGGAGTTTGCATGCTCTCCCCGTGTCTGCGTGTGTTTACTCCAGGTACTCCGGTTTCCTCCCACATCCCAAAAACATACCTAAGTGGGGTTAGGTTAATTGGCCCCTTTCAAAATTGCCCGTAGATGTGAATGTGAGCGTAGATGGTTGTTCGTCTCTATATGTCAGCCCTGTGATGAACTGGCGACTTGTCCAGGGTGTCCTCTGCCTTCGCCCAAAGATGCTGGGATAGGCTCCCAGGATGGATGGATGTTTCTCACAGTCGTACCTGAATATTATAGTTGGGGTTGATTTGCTCTTTCATGGATACACCCCATGTGCACGCTCCAGAGTTTGCACGTTTGGGCTCAGACTCAGGTGTTGAAAAGCATGCGTTGCTAGGAAACCAGGTAGTCAACAAAATCCCAGCAGAAGAAGATAGGACATAAAAAACGGTCATATCACACGTATTAAAGGTCTGTCTTCTCTTCGATTGGTGACGTTCCTCGCCTGCATCACTGAACTGGTCGACCAATCAGCATCCTCCCTGCTCACCTTTGAAAGATCCATCCATGGGAGACAAATTCTGTAAAACAAACTGGTTCTTGTTTTCCCACATAAAACCTTTAATTGTAAAAACGATCATTGCGTCTGATTAGCAGATTTAGAGTTTCAAAGCGTTCGACTGACTCACACTGAGCTGCTTTGTCCCAGTTTTTACAACCTGCTCACAGGGTTACTGGACCAAGATAATAAATGTTATAATTCAAAGAAGAAATTAAGATATCATGACATGCATGTCCACATTTGAAGTGAGGGATCAAAGAAATAAACCGCTGCAGTCATATGATCCCGTCTCTTTAATCCAATCCTTTCTGCATTCTTGTGTTTTTTTCACGTGTGTTATGAGAAGCGATGATCAAATCCCTCCAGCTGTGAAAACCCCTCTGTTTACCCTTACATGAGATTCACGCAGATCTTCCCAGAGACGCATGAAAGGAATCCAAAGCTGTCCAAGAGGCTTCCCTCCATCGTGGTGGAGCCCACAGACGCCACCGAGGTGGAGAGCGGGGAGCTCCGCTGGCCGCCCGATGAGCCCAGCTCTCCGGACGCCAAGAGCGGGAGGACGGTTGCAGAGGAAGAAACTGCAGGTGAGGAATGAAAGATATTAAAATAAACAGCTAAGCTAAATTAGTCATGTTTATATTTGATTGTTGAGTAAATTTGCAGATAAAGAGTTGCCTAACATGTTACTTCTGCAGCCAAGTCACTAAATAGTTCAGCATCAAATTAGTTATATCACCAGTTTGGTATTTTCCATCTGTGGCTCTCCATAAATACTGATCATTCTTACAAACAGCTGTCTTTTAAATGTCTCATGATCTGCAGGAGATGTGTAATTGAATTCCATCTCCATGAACCCATATAAGGTCATTTCCTGTACTGACTTCCTCATGCGATCGAAGCTCATCATAGCAGTTATCTCACCTGACCGGATGAACCGAGAGGAGGAAACACTCTGAGCAGAAATGTGCCCAACTGAGAGCCAAGAGGTGAAGATATGTTGGTGTCACATGACTCTGATGGGAGTCACATGATCAATGATAAATCCCATTAGAGGCAGCAGTGTGGGCCGCCTCCTGTCAGTGCCTCCATGATCATCAAGGATGTTTTTAAAGACCACTAGATGTTAGTAAAAATCTGCACACAGATCATTACAAATGGGGCCCAGTCAAGGTGAAAGTCAAAAGCATTGGTGCTACTGTAGATGCCAACAGACTACCAGCAAACACAATGTTTGCAGGACTTCTACAACTAGGATAAAGTGACATAGTCCAGGACCCGAGGGAGGACAGTTTAGCGATGGCGCTACAACACGCTACAGCAGGTCCGTTTGACAAGAAACACTTCTGTTACAGACACTTGTCTTACTTTGTTAAAGCGGTTTACCTGTCCAGCAGAAAGGTTACAGGGTCACCAAGATCCCCAAGAGTCCCCCATCGTTTATGTTGACCCGGCTTTTTAGCTCTTGTCCGGTCTACCTCCGTTTTAAGCGCCCGTTATTCCTCCAGAGTCTCTTACTTCTTTTTCTTGCTTCCTCTTGATTCCTGCCTACCCCACCTTTAACAGAAGGAATCAATTTGAAATAAGACAGGATCATATATAATACATTAGTACAGGCTTAATCTCATCATTTTTTTATAATTTTTTATATAATTAGGTATTGAGTTCCGTCCTGTAACGGCTCGATAGGTTAAGATTTAAGTAGCTCTGTTCTTGGTTTCGGTGGTCCGGGGGCAGAAGAAACCAAAACATCATCTGGAAATGTGTCGAACTTTGCAGACTCGAGTCTCTGCAAACTCGTGTTTTTCTCAGCTTTGCACCAAAGGAGATCTGTTGGTTCCTAAGTCTGAAGTGGTCTCATCTCTCCCTGTTCTCATCTTGCACACAGAATCAGCCGACTCTCTCCTGTCATTTATCCAAACTGATCAAAATCAAGTAAACCCTTTTCTTTTTTTTTTGTTTTTCCAGATGATTTCCAGTTGAACGTGGACGAGGAGGCTTCAGGGGCGGAGATGCAGGACACCAACTGATCAAACCCTCCTCCTGCTGTGTAACCCACTGTTACTGTGAGTGTGTCCAGACTCGGATGATTGACTAAGAGTCTTACTCAAGAGCACAGACAGATTATGGAGTAAAAAAACAGACAAAAACAGATTCCCAGACCCCAGATTTTGGGCTTGGAGCCAGAGTTGTGTCGGCAGTATGTTAAATAAATCTCCAGGAGCGCGTTTTTAATTCATGTACCTGTCTTTTTTAGTTGATCTAGAACATGTAAACTAACAATGATTGAAGGGACCAAGTGACACTTTTCCGGTTTCGCCTTTTGGATGTTTGTCTTTACTGTCTGGAAATCAACTCTAACTCCCGGCAGCGGCAGACATGTTTTCACTGCCACAGTTTTTAAGAACGCAGACATTAGACTGACGCTACTATGACTGTTGTCACATTTCCAGCTTTGTGGTTTTGATATTTCTAATTCGCTAAATTTCGTTCCCTCTGGCTCCAAGCCTCTGCCGTCCAGATGTCCTTCAGTGTCATTTTTAATCTGGACCGGTGTTTCTAAATGCTGTCTTAAGTATTTAGCTCATGTGTGCCATATTACTACTACTACTTCTAATGGTAGCTACTGTATTCTGTGCACAGATTTTACATTAACTCTAGATGTAAATAACGTCACTGTTTGTTGAGTGCTGACTGCTGTAGTTTGGTGATCTTGGTTCACTTTGTACTAATAGCTACGATGTTTTAAAGACAGTGTTTGATTCAAGAAGCCTTCATCACTTTATCGATGTTAATATGAGGATAATAAATTCTTTGATATATTATAGTACGTCTTCATAAAGTGGTGTTCAAGGGAATGTGATCGTGTGGTTTTACTTAGGATATTTAAGCAATATGTTCACAGGGTTTTAAAGGCAGTCCCATTTTGTTACCGAAGTGAGAATAACCAGAATATTTTAGACGTGTTTCGCTTGTCACAGACATGATATTTTTTAAAATACTGGAAGCCTAAATTATTGCACAAGTAATAAACCTTTTCAAAATTCTTAAAAAACTGCGTGTGGATTTGTCGTCCTTGGATTCAGATCTTTAACTTCAAGTCGAAACAGTCGAAACATAAACCAAGCAGACTAGTTTTCTGAAGACCTGATGTAGGATCTACTTCATGTTTTGGTTTCATGAGGACTCTTCTACTACAGAGCCATGCTGTTTTAACATGCACAGATTGTAGTTTGGCGTCTTCTCGCTGTATGTCTGTTGTGAATGGCGGCATATGTTGCTCCAAAAACCATGAGCACCTCAGGTCTCTGGGAAGATTTTGTGATGCTGGGACAAACTGTGTTCACCGACAGTGTCATTTTGATCCAATGCAGTGTAGGGCTGCACGATTTCGCTAAAAATAAAATCCCGATTTTTTTCTCTAAAAACTAAATTTTTGATTTCGATATTTTGTTCACCAAACTTCACTTTAAAAATAAGAAGTTTTTCTCTCATCTCGCAAAACAAAACCACTGAAAAAGATGTAGTGCATATGCCAAGCCAGTAAGTGGTGCTGTAACGCTGCACAGGAAATGCATCAAAAGACAGAAGAAGAGTACAGAGCATGTGCATAAAAGTTGTTTTGGTCGGACACGTGCAGGCGCCATAAAATAGTTACGCTGAGTGTTGCATGATCATTTCAAGAGATGCCGGTACGACAAAAAAACTTTTGTGTTTCCTCCTGAATTTGTTTCCGTGGTGACGGGTTGATACGCCTTCAGACAGACTTAGCAGTGGGGAGTGGTTTGCTCTTTATCCGAAACTGTGAAGTCGTACCAATTCAACACGACTGACTCGCTCTTGTCCTATTTAGCCACGAATTATCGCCTTCTTTTAGAAACGCCAGGTTTGTTTACACTGAACTGGGAAGCCTACGGTGGCCTGGAGGTGCAAGACATGATAGAGAGGAAAATCGATTTGACAATTTCAATTTTTTTAACATCGTCATAATCAAAAAAAAAGGTTACAATTTAAAATCAATTAATCGTGCAGCCCTAATGCAGTGATTTCCACTACAGAGTCATGTCTGAAGGCCCACTATCACAGTGATCCAGTATCAGTTTTAGACCATGTCACTTTTTCACAGAGTTTTTTCCAGAATATTTAAATGATTTTATGTAAAATGGGACAAAATCTTCTGACATCGTTGAGCCGTTTACTCACACAGTCTCTCACTACATGTTGAACCTCTTCCTATCGTCACTCCGGAGACTCAGCCTCTCTTAAAACCCAAGTCCTGTTCATAAAATCAAACATTTTTGTTAGTTTAACATCGTTCAGCTTTTATGTGAATTTATATCATAATATAAAACATTAATAAATCACATTTTTGACACTGTAGTTGCCAATAGTAGCTTCACATACTCAGCAGCAGCCTCGGAGTCAGTTAATGTACTGCTCATCTGACTGTGATTTTAGCACTTCCTACATGTCTGCATGTTAATAACTCTGTCATGATTGAACATAATGTCCTGAGGTTACAGTCCGCTCGGCGCTGAGAGTCATTTAGCATCACCACGACAGATCTGCGGACAAAAGAACCACTGAGAGAGATATTGTAGTAAAATGATGAAAAATTTACATGAGTGGAAGTTTCTGAAAGTGGAAGTCGGTAAAAGCTTCTTCATTCTGAGCTAAAAGAGAACAAAAAGCCTCTGAATGTCAGTCAGGTCGGGACGTTTTGACTCTGAAAAATCAAATCTGAGCGGTTGAAATCAGAAACAAACATTCATCCGACTCAAAGATGATTTTCTCCGATCGTTCTGCTGCTGTTTGAGAGTTTCACACATTCCTACTTTCACAAAGAATAACAGGTTAACCAGTGTGAACGGATTAATTGTTTGCCTCGTCGAATTTTGGCTGTCACCGTTATTAAGAGCCAAAGTGACACCTTCGTAATTATTGTTTGTCAAAACTTCCAAAAGTCGTTATAAAAGAGAAATATTGAAAAAGCAGCAGATCCAAAAGTTTTGATTCGTTCAGTTTGCACCACTGCTGTGTTGTTGAGTTAAAATATGTGATTTTTCTCTTAAATTTAATGAAGCAGAAACAAAAACTGACACAAATTTGAGCAAATGAACCTCAAATTTAAACGTCAGACATTAAAAACACTCGCTGAAATCCTCTGGAGTTGATTTATTAACTGCACAAAGTATTTTAAGGGAACATGAGCACTATTATTTAGGAATTTATTACTATCTTGAGGACACAAAATGATAACTTGTTCCAATAACATGTAAAAAAAAAGGGAAACACTTCAGTATTTTTAACTCCTAAGTTTCCCAGTGAAGGAGACTCAGGTGTGTTTCTTTTCCGAGCCCGAAGCTGCTCCATGATTTCAAACCTCGCCTCTTATTTTTAGTCCCTGATTTATTTTGCATGCCTCGGAGTTATTCAAGGAGCCAACACGCCGAACATCTGCTGCGCTTCACGTCACGAAAACAGGACACTTCTTTATGAATCAGCCGTCCCGGTGGAGGAAGATTTTATTCATGAACCAGGATGCGGACGTCCTTCATCCGTCTGCGTTAGATAGTTTTCAATCAAACATGCTCTCGTCCCTAAAAGGCTGTTTATCCCTCTGCTGTGCTCAACTCAGAATCATGAATGTGACGTTAATACAGACCAGGTTTTTCGGGTAAATAAAGCCCAGGGTTACCTGTTATGTAATTTCTGAAGGAGGAGCTCACTCACGGAGGAGTTGAGTGAGTTTGCCTTGAAACTTCAGGTTAGAAAAAGAGACAAATAAATAATCAAGTGAATCTATTTTCTTGTTTTTAATATCCTGCTTTCATGTCACACACCAGTTAAAAGCAGTCTTCACTCCTGCACTCTGGCCTCGGTTTCATTTCACGTTGCATGCACCTCGCTTTGCCTCTGATGGTTTCCTGATACTTACTTTTAGCAGCACTGTGATTTTTAACCGCAGTGCAAAGAAGACAAAACTTCAGACCTCAGAGTTTTTACACTGAGAGCAGGAAGTCATCCAAAAAAGGAGCATCTATGTCTGCCCTGTTTTCTCTAAGAGTGTAATAGCCCCCCTGTTTCCTTCCTGTTCTCTGTGTTTTATTCTTTAGATCAGTTTTCAGTGTTTATTTCCTGTTTTATTTTGTAGTCGTAGACTCCTTGTGTTTCTACTTCCCTAGTTTTCCCTCCTTCGTTAATCACTGATGAGTTTCACCTGTGTCTCGTCTGCCTCACCTGTTGCTCGTTTCCCAGTGTGTGTATTTAGTCCCTGTCTTCCCCCTGTCTTCATTGTGTGTGTGTTTGTCGGTCTTTGTATTTTTTTGTTGGACATTTTAAAGAAAGTTTTTGTTGTTTTTTTTAATTTAGTTCTTTTTAATTAAATCTGCATTTGGGTCCTTTTCTTTTGTTTAACCCCTGGCTTTATGACAAATAGTGACTGAAACCTCTAAAATCTTACACTGGGTGATGGTCATGTACAATTTTAGCTTCCTGAGGGTGCGGATTTGTTACTGTGTATCATTAATGGTCTTATTTATTTAATGGTTTGCACAGCGAGTATGAAGCAAGTGTTATTGAGCTGTCACTTATGGTTTTAGGATATTTTGGGAGTCATTTTTTGTTTCTTAAAAGGTGAAACTAAAAGGTGATTTTTGCGTCATGCTATAACTCCAAAGAAGAAACGTTCATGAGTTCATGTTTATAGTGGCCTTGTTGAAATGCAAAACCTGATATGCAGTAGAGCCTCTGCAGAAATCTATTGATAAGATAATATATCGATAAGATCAGACCCACTCCCGTCCCAAGGTTTACCACACAAGTGAAACACTTTACAGCATTAGAGAGTTACAGTGGAACTTCCTTTAACAGGCAGAAACCTCGAGCAAAACCAGACCCAAAAACTTCCTGTAACAGGCAGAAACCTTGACTCAAGAACTTCACTCAACAGGCAGAAACCTCCAGCAGGACCCGACTCAAAAACTTTGTTTAACAGGAAGACACCTCAAGCAGAACCAGACTCAAAAAC